TAAGCGAGCAGAAGGACCTCTGGAGGCAGACCGGGTCCTTCAAGACGGGTGGCGGAGGGAGCAAAGACTCGACGTCTTGTAGTCCAGCCTCGGAGATATTGCTTATCCCGACAAGCTGGAGGATCTTCGTAACCTCGTCTTCAGTCCGTGTGTCATGTGGGTTCGTGACGTTGATTGCGAGTGACTGATTCAAGAATGCTGAGAGCTCGACGGCCCTCTCAAGAAGAGGTTCTTCGGCAGCTGCACGCCACTCCGCGTCCCTCCGCCGGCGTCCAGCTGCAAAGGGGATGAGTGACATCGCGCCAAGTAGCACAGCGCCCTTGTAAAATATTTTTTTGAAGTCTCCCCCGTACTTGTCCTTGCTGACTTGGTTGAACAGCGTTTTCTTTAACTGCTCCCGCTGCATCTCTTGCATTCGAATCTGCATTTGCAGTTGATTTAGATCTCTCAATTGCTGGCGCTGTTGCAAAAGCTGTTGCTCATTTTGCAAGTACTGGCGTTGCAACTGGTCCCTCTGCTGCGTCAGGAGGTTCGTCTGGTCGTTGGCAACAGGACTCCTTTGTTGATCTCCTAACTGAACAGACTGGACGGGCAGGCGTCTGACTGGCAGAGGACCGAACGCCACCAGCTGACCTGTCTTGGTCTTTTTGGGCTTGGGTTTCAGGAACGCAAACGGGTCCAAGGGCGCCTTATGTGGCTTCGGGACGGGCACCAGGAAGATGTTTGGAGGCTGAGGGGCGGGAGGGGGAGGAGGAGGAGGAGGGGTGATGGGGGACCGGGGTCGGCTGGAGGCGGTGTTGGAGCAGGGGGATTGGCCGGTGGAGCACCGTACACTGCTGGGGGAGGCGGTGGAGGATTTGCAGGGGTTGTTGGAGGAGGTCCATAGACTGGTGGAGGTGGAGGTGGAGGGTTTGCCGGCGGCGGCGGAGCACCGTACACTGGTGGGGGAGGCGATGGAGGATTTGCAGGGGTTGTTGGAGGAGGTCCATAGACTGGTGGAGGTGGAGGAGGAGGGTTCGACGGCGGCGGAGTGCCATAACCGTACATGGGGGCTGGCGGGTCGGCAGGCGTCGTCGTGGGAGGAGGCCCGTAACTATACACAGGGGCAGGAGGGTCGGCAGGCGTAGTTGTTCGAGGAGGACCATAGCCGTACATGGGCGCTGGGGGGTCTGCGGGCGTCGTAGAGGGTGGGCCGTAACCCCGCGAAGGGTTGCGTGGCCTCGGAGGAGGTTGAGGGAATGGCCTGTCTGCACTTGGCCTCCTTTCTTGATCCAGTGAGGTGTAGGACGACTCGCTGAAATCATCAGCCTGACTGGGTGCTGTGAGGAAGTGCGAAGGCTCAAACAGGCTGCAATCTATTCCAGACTGACATTTTTTGACCCTATCCTGGGCTGGCTTGTCTGCGCTGGCTTTGCCCTCCGTCTGGAAGAGCTCGTCCTTGTCTCCCGTGATGTGGTAGTGATAGTGGTAATTGTGGACAGCGGTGGTAGTTTCATTACGAGTGTTGCGTCCTCCCCCTGGGACGTCCAGAGGGTCACTGCTGTAGCCTCTGTGGCTGTTCGGATTGGATAAAGGCCTCCAGTCATTTGAGGTGTCGTCATTAGAGGTTTCCAGCGGCAAAGGAACCGCAGGTGGACGATAACTTCTCTGAGGGGTAACTTCATCTCGGAAAGGAGGCAGGTAGGTCTGAGCAGGACGTCGTGTTGTGGTTGTAACTGGGGCTGGCGGTGGTGCAGGAGGGCCAGCGTCCGCCTGTGGTAGTGGGGCTGCTGGAAGAGCGTAAATGATGGTCGGAGGAAGTGGGTTGGCTTGAGGGCTTTGCTGTGGAGGCAAGTAAGACGCCGAGGGATTAGACTGCGTCTGACCAGCTGGGAGGGTGTAGGCTGTCGCAGGAACAATGACGGGCGGAGAGGGAGGAGGGGCAGGCGGCCCTGGATCCCGCAGAGGTGTTGGGTTCCTATTAGGAGGGAGATAATTGTTTACAGGCCGCGTTGTTGGAGGTGGAGAAGGTGGGGCAGGATTGCGGGGAGGTGTCGGGTTCTGGTTCGGGGGCAGGTAAGAGTTCAATGACGCGAGGGTAGAGGGCGGGGAAGGCGGGCCTGGATCGCGGGGAAGCTCCACATTCTGGTTAGGAAGGAGATACCTGCTAGCATCGGAAGCCGTGGGAGACAGGGCATCTGCGCTGGAACCAAGAGCAGCAAAAGCAAGCGTATTAAAGGGAAACAGAGACAGAGCGTCGAGGGAGAAAGAATCCGAGCGCCGGCTCCTCATGCTGTCCATCAGGGAATCCAAAGAGTCTCGCTGCTTCCTGTTCAGTTCGGTCAGGGAGTTGATCTTCTTGTTGAAGAGCGACTTGGCCAGCATTAACTCGAATTCCTCGTCTCCCTTGCCCCCCTCGGAGGCGGGTCCTTCGAAGTCCCTTATGATTTCCAGAGCCAGCCGCAGGTCCTCGAGTCGCTTTCGCCTGATCTCGGCAATCTGCTTCTCGTCCATTCCGTCTTGGTCGCCGAAGGGAGCCGCCGCCTCTTTGCTGTCGACCTCCAAGGAGCCGAAGAGCTTGGAGAGTTTCGACAAATCCTCTTCCGTTAAAAAGGGTTGATCGTCTTCTCCGTCGGCTCCTTCGCCTCCTGTGCCTCTGGATCCGGAGTTCTTGGAGGCCAGAGTCTCCAGGACGGAGTGAAAGTCTCCCTGCACCTGGTGAGGGAAGGTGGAGTGGTGGCCGCTGCTTTGCCTCTCCTCCAGGGCGGCCGCCAGCTGCTGCGCCGACCGGGCCAGGACCTGGAGGGCGCGGGAGGTGGAGTCGCCGTCGCCGCTCTCGTTAGTCTGTCATGGGAGGAAGCTTTGTGTCAGGCGAGTCGGGAGGATAATAGGGGGAGCTGGCTAAAGGATTTTGATTAATGGGAAATCTATTGCATGAATGACTAGACGAATATTCTTCAGGGATGAATCATAAAATCAAGTGAGGTAAGTAGAATGAAAAGAATGTGTTCAGTATTTTCAAGGATGTTATTCCAACTCTCTGTCATCTAAAAGGTGTTCTTTTACTCTCACACTTACCCCATACTCCTCGTCCTGGTCGGAAGGCAGCAGGAACCTATGCGTGACCTTCGAGGACTGCGTCTCCGAGTCCTCATAGTCGGCCGCATAGTCGTCAGCGTAATCAGCATGAGAAGCGGAAGCAGCATGACCAGGGGCGTCATAGAACGGAGAACGTCCTCTGGCATCACTCCTGCCCTGGGCGCTGCTGCTGCTGGACCCGAAGCCTCGCTCCTGGAGGGGATTCGCCCCGGCAAAAGGGACCGTGTCGAACAGGGAGCTCCCGGAGGCCCCCTGCGACCCCGACAGCCCGACCGACACCGTAGCGGAGGCCACCCTGCGTCCGGAGGCAGGCCGACGAGGCCGACTCGTCACCTGCAGCTCGGAGAGACTCGCCCTTCTCGAGGGTCTGAAGCTCTCCAGGGACTCCAGGGGCGCTCCTTCTTCCTCGAGCTCCTTAAGACTGTGGGACATCTTCACGCCCCCGAAGAGAGACTCCTGCTGTTCCCCTTCGTTCCGGGCGTCCAGGGAGAAGAGTGACGTGCCCTCGGGAGGCGAGGACTCGGCGTCGGTGGCCCCGAGGGTGAAGTCGATGCCGTCAAAGAGGGACTGCGCCGCGGACGCCGTCAGGACGCCCAGCACCGCGAGCAGACCTGCGGGAGGAGGCGCGTTACAGGCTGGGGTTCACATGATAACGGAGATCGTAATGGTAAGATTAATCATGTTAATAGGAATTATAGTGGTTGTAATAATTGTAGTAGTAGTAATTGCAATAATAATAGTAATAAATGTTGTAGTAGAAGTAATAGCAATGATGACAATAATATTAAAAATGATAATTGTAGTAGTAGGAGTAACAGTAATAATGACAATAATGTTGATAACAACAACAATAATGATGGCAATAACGATATTAATGACAAGAAGAATCGTCATCATAAGCATAATGATAATAATAATAATAATAATGACAATAAAGATATTGGTGATGATGATGATGATAAAATAGTTTAAACATCAACAGCAATAACAATAAAAGTAATGATAATAGTAATAACGCTGATATTGATAACGATATTGACGACAGTGCTAATAATATTGATAATTATAATAATAATGATAATAATAAATAATAAAACAAGTAATAGTCGTGATGATGATAGTAATAATAATAACTGTAACAAAAACAATCGAAATAGGATATAGACGTAAAAAAGAGGAGAGAAAGAGAGAGAGATGGAAGGAAGAAGGGATGGAGAGAGAGAAAGAGAAAGAGAAAGAGGGAGGGAGGGAGGGAGGGAGAGAGAGAGAGAGAGAGAGAGAGAGAGGAGGAAAGAGAGAGAGAGGATGGAGGGAAGGGAGAGAGAGGAGAGGAGGAGAGGGAGAGAGAGAGAGAGAGAGGGAGGGAGAGGGAGGGAGGGAGAGAGAAGAGGAGAGAGAGAGAGAGAGAGAGAGAGAAGAGAGAGAGAAGAGAGAAAAGAGAAGAGAGAGAGAGAGAGAGAGAGAGAGAGAGAGAGAGAGAGAGAGAGAGAGAGAGAGAGAGAGAGAGAGAGAGAGATTATATCAAACTTGCTTAATGCCTTATATCCTGAAAAGTTAGTGAAAAGGGAAAGGCAAATGGCGGAAAGAATTAGACTTTTTTTTTTATTCATAACTTGATCCGGTTTTCTGTTCACCCATCTGGAAAGTTTATGCTTATCATGGACCTATTTTTTTGTTGTGGTTTTCGGTGCAATAGTAGATTACTGTAATCAAATCTGGGCAGACTGTGTGAGAGTTTATACACACACACACACACACACACACACACACACCACACACAACACACACACACACACACACACACATGCACACAACACATCACACACAACACCACACACACACACACACACACATCACACACACACACAACACACACACACACACACACACACACACACACACACCGCATACACACGCATACACATACATATATATATATACATAACAGGGGGTCCTCGGTTACGACGGTCTCGACTTAACGACGTTTCGTGGATACGACGCTAGATATTATGTACAGTTTTTACAGTTTGTCTTCCATGTGTTCCTTTAGCCCTAGTTATGTCTTCATCTACGTCATAGAAGTGTCTTGTTATGTTTTATATCATGACTTCAATACATGTATACATACTGTATTAGCATATGTGAGTGACCTATCTATCTATCTATCTATCTATAACACACACCACACAGAATACACATACACACACAACACCATACACACACAACAAACTCAGCCAACATATACGAACACAAAAACACACACACCACACACACACGCGTCCAAAAACCACACGCATGCGCATCCCCCAAAAAAGGCCACAGACACACATACACACACACTCGCACATATACAAATATACGAACACACACACACACGCGTCCAAAACCACATACACACATAAGCACCACGCGCGTTCCACGGAATACCACATACACAAAACACACTCGCTCATATACAAATATACCGAACACACACACACACGCGTTCCAAAACCACATACAACAACACACTCGTAACATACACAAATAATCACAAACACAAACAAACACCGCGTCCAAAAAACCACGCCAATGCGCAGTCCCCGGAAAAGGCCAAACGACACACATACACACACAGACAAACACGATACACACACACACACTCGCACAATACACACACAAACACACATCACGCAACGTGTCCAAAACCACGCATGCGCAATCCCCCAAAAAGGCCACAGAACACACACACAACAGACACCACATTACACACAACAACGCACACACAGAACACACCGCGCGTCAAAAAACCAACAGCCCCATGCGCAGTCCGGAAAAGGCCAACGACACACATACACACACACTCGCGCATATACAAACACACACACACACGCGTCCAAAGCACACACAACACTCGCACATATACAAATATACAAACACACGAAACAACACAAACACACAACACACACACACACACACACACAAACACAACGCGCGCCAAAACCAAAGCCTGCGCCATCCGCGCCATAAAGGCCAACGTGACCGTGTCCGCGCCGGCCATTAGGGTCCCACGACGCCGGCCGACGACACACATGCACCACGACACCTCGCAACATACACAAAACACACACGCCGCGTCCAAAAACCACGCATGCCGCAGTCCCAAATAAGGCCACAGACACACCATACATAACACACATACACTCGCACATATACAAATACACGCACACAAACACACACAAACACATCACGCACGCGTCCCTAAACCACGCATGCGCAGTCCGGAAAAGGCCAAGACATCACATACACAAGACACAGAACACAGCATAAAACACAGACACACACACAGCACACGAACACACACGCGCGTCCAAAACCCACGCATTGCGCAATCCGGAAAAAGCCAACGACACACATAAACACCACAGACACACATACACACACAGACAACACACACACACACACACACTACACGAACACACACGCGCGTCAAAAACCACGGCATCGCGCATCCGGAGAAGGCAACGAACCGTGTCCCGCCGGCATTAGGTCGCCCCAACGCCGGCGGCCGACGGAGAGGCGCGCCGAGATTCGAGAGCGATACGAAATGAAAGTTCTGTCACTTCGCTGACCTCTTTGAGCCGGCCAGTCGAGAAGGAGGGAAGGGGAGAGGGAGGGAGGGAGGGGGAGGGAAGGAGGGAAAGGGGAGGGGGGGTAGGGGGAGGGGGAGGGGGGAAAAAAAAAAAAAAAAAAAAAGGGGGAGGGGGAGGGGGAGGGGGACGGGGGGGGGGGGGGAGGGGAAGGGAGGGGAGGGGAGAGGGGGGGGGAGGGGGGGGGGAGGGAGGGAGGGGAGAAGGGAGGAGGGGAGGGGGGGGAAGGAAAGGGAGGGGGGAGGGGAAGGAAGGGGGAGGAGGGAAGGGGGGGAGGGGGGGGGAAGGGGGAAGGGGGAGGGGGAGGGAGGGAAGGGAGGGGAGGGGGGGGGGAGGGGGGGGAGGAGGGAGGGAAGGGGAGGGGGGAGAGGGGAGGGAGAGGAGAAGATAGGAAGGGGAAGGAAGCATGAATGAGAGAGAAAGAAAGAAAGGTTGTCACTTTCGCTGACTCTTTGAGCCGCCAGTTCGAGAAGGAAACGGTTTCATAACATGAATTTCTGAGGTGAGAGGGAGAGGGAGAGGGGAAGGGGGAGGGGGAGAGGAGGGGAAAGGGGTAGAGGGAGGGGGAAGGGAGGGGGAAGGGGAGAAGGGGGGAGGGAGAGGGGGAGAAGAAAAAGAAAGGAAGGAAGGGAGAAGGAGAGGGAGAGGGAGGGGGGAGAGGGGGGGGGGGAGAAGGGGAAGGGAGAGGGGGGGAAGGAAGAGGGAAGAGGGAGAGGAGGAAAAGAGAAAGAGAAAAGGAATAAGAGAAAGAAAGAAAAGAAAAAGGAATGAGAGAAAGAAACAAAGGTGTCACTTCGCTATCCTACCCCAAACCTCACCCTCTTTGAGGGGGGGCCGGCAATCCTTCGGGAGAGGGAAACGGGTTTTTCATTCTCATCTGAAGGTGAGAGAGAGAAAGGGAATGGAAGGAAGGACGGAAAGAGAGAAAGAAAAGGGAATCGGGGTTCCATTGTGCGGCGGGGCGAGGTTGGGAGACGGAGGAAACGAAAAAAGGGAGGGAAGAGGGAAAAGATAAAATAAAGGGGATTAAAGGAAAAAAAAGAGGGAGAACGAAAGAAAGGGAAACGGTTCATTCCGAGGGATGAAAGAGAGAGAGAGGAGGAGAGAGAGGGAGGAGAGAGAAGAGAGAGAGACAAGAGAAGAGAGGGAGAGATGAAGGGGGAGAGAGAGGAAAGGAGAAGAGGGAGTGAGGAGTAAGAGGAGAGAAAGAGGAGATAGAAGGAGAAAGGGAGAGGAAGCAAAAGACGATTGGAAAGAAAAAAAAGAGGGAAATAATTTGCATCCCGAGGTGAGAAAAGAAGGAAAGAAAGAAAGAATGAAAGAAAGAAAGGAAGAATGAATGAATGAGAGAAAGAGAGAACAAAAGAAAGGGAAACGGTTCTATTCGAGGTAAGAAAGAGGAAGAAAGAATAAATAAAGAAAGAAAGAGATAGAGAAAGGGAAACGTTTCCATTCTGAAGGTTGAGAGAGAGAGGAGAAAGAAAGGGGAAAAAGAAATAAAGAATAAAAGAAGGAACGAAAGAAGGAGAGAGAGAGAGAGAGAACGAAAGACAAGAATAAATTCCTAATTGTCTAACAGCTCGTTAGCCTCTTAGAACATTCCAGATTATTGTGTTTCGTTTTGTTGTTATTGGTTATCGTCTTGTATTTTTTATTATCATTTTTCTATCAATTTCCTAATCGTAGAAACATATGTTAAGTGAAAATCTAATTACTATTGCTGTTGTTCTTGATATTCTGTTTTTTTTTTTTCCTGTGTTATAGTTAGTTATTATTATTATTATCATTATTTTATTTTTCTGTCAGTTACCTAACATCGTAGAAACATATGTTAAGTGAAAATATTATAGTATTGTTGTTCTTGATATATATTTTGCCTGTTTATACCGTGTTACAGTTATTCTCTTCTTATTATTTTACTGCTAATTACCGAACATCGTAGAAATATATTTTAAGTGAAAATCTAATTATAGCAATGTTGTTCTTTATATTCTGTTTTTTTTCTG